GAAATAACCAGGTTAAACGTTTCCCTTTCCTGAGATGATTTGCTGCTTATTTCTTAATGGTCCCTGTCGTGCCCTCTCAGAGATCTTCTCCTGACCCCTTTTTTCTCCTGATGGGCTCTAATTGCTGCACCCAGTTCACACCTGGGCAGGTCTCACCACTGAGATTGGTTAAAAAAAAATAAAAAAAATAGAAAAAATGCAGGATATCATTACCTCTTTAAAAACAGATGATCCTACAAGATCAAAGTATTTCATCTTAATGAGAAGTGCCTCTTAACCACACACAATTTACTGGGCTGGTTTAAAAATAATTAGAGAAAAAAAAAAAAAAAGAATCCAGGAAAAAAAGCTCACCAGATGGTGGCTGTGGAAGACAAAGCTTACCAAGTGTTTAACTTTGTTCCCATTAAACAAAATTAAATTTTCCTTTAAAAATAATTATGCAGGAGAAAAATAAGCAGCATAAGCAAATGGAATTATAGGAGGGGCTCATTTGCTTAGTGAGTTGCTGCCTGTGCTTTCACTCTGTGGGCAAGGTGAATGGAAACATTGCTGAGAGAGTGGTTCAGGAGGAGCACTCCGATGGGAGAGGGGAGGCTGCTGTCATCACCTGTCACCTTCAACCTCCTGCTCCTTCCCCAGGCTCACAGGCAGGGAGCAGGCTGAGGTCTTTCTCAGAGAGGATGCTGAAGGACAGCTGAGATTAAGAGGAAAAAAGAAAAAAAAAAGGAAAAAAATAGTTAAAAAAACCAATGACAAGGGTTTTCCCAGCTCTTTAGGCCCCCTGTAATATGTGCACTGAGAAGAGGCAATATTTAGTGCCTTGAGGGCAGAGCAGGGCCTGTGCCCACCACTGAAGACCCTCCTCTGCCAAGGGAAACAAACAGAAATAATACCCAAAGCTCACAGGTCGTTACTTGTATTAAAAATAAATCAATGCAAATGCATCCAGGCATTTTTAAAAACAAAAACACAGCAGATCTTGTGGTATTTTAATCTCCACCAAAGCTGCCCGTTCTGGTTTTGGGAGGCTTTGCAGGGTGAAGAGGGGTGGGCTTCCTGGGGCTGCTGTGGGATCGTGGGGAGATTTGGGGAGAGGGCAGAGCTCTCCCCTCCTTCCACATGGAATCACGGAGCAGTTTGGGTTAACTTTTCCCACTCCAGCCTGGCCCAAATGGGTTAACTTTTCCCACTCCAGCCTGGCCCAAAGAGCCGAGCAGAGGCGAACGCGCCCTCTTGACATTTCGGGTTTATTTTAAACACTCCTGAGCTAAACAAAAAGCAAATCCTGTCATCACTCCTAAATTCCACAAAAATGACAATGTGGGAAGAGAAATATAAAAAAAGGAAGTGGCAACACTCTGCAGCTCGATTGGTACCAAATTCCTGAGGCGCAAAGAGCCCAAACCTGACCCTGGCTATTTTGGCCACCGGCTCCTTGGAGCTCAGAGCTTTCCCAGCACAGGCAGGGGTGGGACTGGGGCAGGAGCCTGGAGGGAGCTCAGCTCTGTGCTGTGGGGGACACCAAAGTGTCCTCCAGTGCCCAGGAGCCCAAGCTGCTCCTGCTGCTAAACCCCAACAGCCACTCTGGGTTTGGGGGTGCAGGGGCTTTGCACCTCCAGCGCTGGGTTCTGCTGCTGGCAGAGGGGTTTTGGGTTCTGCTGCTGGCAGAGGGGTTTTGGGTTCTGCTGCTGGCAGAGGGGTTTTGGGGTCTGCTGGCAGAGGGGTTTTGGGTTCTGCTGCTGGCAGAGGGGTTTTTGGCCTCTGGTTGGGAGCAGCCAAGCACAGCCATGTCACGCTGAGGATCCCACACAGCAGGGCATCCTCACAGCTTAACAATTTGGAAAAAACTGCTTGAATAGCACAGACCCCCTCCACACATTGCTCCTTAGCCCCCCTTCCCTTCCTGACCCCATCCTGGCTCCTCAGGGCAGGCTCAGCCCTCCTGGGGTGATCGAGCTGCTGGCAGGAGCATGCTGTACTGGGCTGTTCTGGGCTGTGCTGGGCTGTGCTGGGCTGTACTGGGCTGTTCTGGGCTGTGCTGGGCTGTACTGGGATGTTCTGGGCTGTGCTGGGCTGTGCTGGGCTGTGCTGGGCTGTTCTGGGCTGTTCTGTTCTGTTCTGTTCTGTTCTGTTCTGGGCTGTTCTGTTCTGTTCTGTTCTGTTCTGTTCTGTTCTGTTCTGTTCTGTTCTGGGCTGTGCTGTGGCTGCAGCTCCCGAGCACCGAGCCCAGCTGGGTTTGGGCTCCTGCCCAGCTCCTGCCTGCAGGGAGCTGAAATAAACCCAAACATCCCTGCTGGATCGGGCCTGGGCTCATTAGACTGAGTGACATGAATAAGATGAGGTTTGGAGGCTGAGTTATTACTGGAATTAGGAAAAAAATCCCCAAGCAAGCCCGATCTCAAGTTGTGCCCTGCATGGATCAAAGCGAACCAGGAGCCGTGGGCATTATTGTCAGGGTGGGATGATGAGCGAGTTTAGCGCTTGCTGAAGTTTTGGGGCTGCCTCTCTATGTCTCTGGAGGCAAATTCCTTCCTCTGACCCTTTCCAACAAGTTTGGCCTCCAGACTGAGCAGGTTTGGCTTCTAGAGGAGCAGGCTCAGAGGGTGCCCCATCCCCCAAAGCCCCCGCACAGCCCGGGGCTGGGGACCCCTCACCCTCCAGGGTGGAGGAAAAGCAAAGCAACCCCTGTCTGCTCCTAAAATGCCATTTCCCCCAGCACAAGGTTGGACCCTGGACCCCCAGCTCAGCCCCCACATTTCACCACAGCCCTGGCTCCTGAGGGAAGCGCTCTGGGAAGGGGCAGTGGATGCTCCCTCTCCTGCAGGGAATGATCCAGGCTCAGCAGGGGCTCAGGAAAAGGAATGTGCTCCCTCACTGTGGCACCTGTTTGCTGAAAACTCCTCTTACAGGAAGCAGATGCCTCATCCTTGTCTTGTCCAGGCTGCAAAGGAGCAGTGGGGGAAGCCAAGGCTGTCCTGGGCTGGTGACACCAGAGGAACAAGAAAGGTTTTGGTGACCTGTTCCCATCCTTCTGTCCCCGTCTTCTTCATCCTCCACACCTAAAATGACCTCCCACACATAAAATCTGTATTTTTATGGCTTCTGCTTCCAGAGAAGCAGCACAAAGTCCAGTGTCACACAGCAGCACAGAGCTGCAACACATCCCTGCAAGCCCAGCACATTGAAAGCGATAAAGAAACCAAATAATCCCTTTTCCTACCTCTCTCCATGGGAAGTCACTCCTTTAATAAGTTCCCAACACCAAACCAAGCCCTCAGAGACCTCCACAGGTAACTTTGGGCTCCCTCCTGTTCTGCAGGAGCTCCAGGAGCTGCAGCTGCCCCTGCCCCATCCCCAACCTGCTGCTCCACACTCTCCAGCCACATCATCCTTATCTTTAATTTCTGAATTGAACCCCTGGAGAAAAATCTCTGCATGCCTATTTTTTATGTGTTTATCTTGTCATTTCTTTAGAAAGATACTTGTTACAAATATATTTTTCCCCTCCTTCCCCCCAGCCCTGTTGGAGAAATCTACTTGGGTAATTTGTTGAGCGGGTTGCTGGGCCTTGCATTATGCATGAGATGCAATCTTGATTTTTGCACTCCACTGTGTGCATTCTGAAACAGGAACGGCATCGTGCCCGCACGCAAAATGAACATTAACAGCTCAAAAAAAAAAAAATAAAACAACAAAAAAACAACCCCACAAAAAAAGACAAACAAAAAAAAAAAACAACCCACCAAACCCAGGAAACAGAAAATGCCCATTTATTTAAAGGAAAATGAGAAAACAACCTGTGCTTTTTCAAGCTGCTGTCGCTGGGATTGCTCAGAGCAGCCGAGTTGTGCCCGTGTCAGCTCTGCTGGGGAGTGCTGGGCTCAGGCTTCTCGCTGGGACACGGCAGCGATGCTGCTGAGGTACCCAGGGCCTGCCTGGACGGGGTTTGGAGCAACCTGGGCTGCTGGAACACGTCCCTGCCATGGCAGGGGGTGAAATGAGATGATCTTTCATCATCTTCCAGCCCAAATCACTCTGGGGTTGTTTGTGAGCTCAAAGGCAGCATTGCCACCCCCCTGCAGCACTGGAGCTGGGGTGGAACAACTCAGAGAAGGAGCATCACCCTATCCTTCCCTCCTGCTGCCCACACAGAAACACCAACACGGGCCCTGCCTGCTCCCAGAGACCGATAAATCCTGCACCAGCCCCTCCTGCTCACGGGACTTGTGCTGCAGCAGCTTTTGGAACACGTCACGGCCCCAAATACTTTGGGTCAGACTCCAAAGGCCACCATTCACCAAAGCCTCCAGCCCTTTTGCCAGATGTGCCCTTGTTAATCCAGCACTCCTCCACCCCCTTTACCTTCTCCTGGCAGGGCTGTGGGCCCAAATCCCAACTGGAAACAGATGATTTGGGGATGTGGTGGGAGGTGACACGAATGAGGAGGGTGCAGGCTTCGTGTGCCAAACCTTCAGGTTAAAGATGTAAAGCACAAACACAGACACACACACAAAAATAAAGATGCAGACGATTCACAGCCCATCGACCCCCCAGCTCTGCCCTGAGGTATTTCATGCTTGGAGGCCGTGGAGTATTTCAGAGCAATCACAAGCATGGCTCAATTTGAAGTCCATTTAAAAGCCAGCTGTGCCAGTGATGTCCTTTTCAGCCTCTGCTGAGGCTCCTCTGCCACCTCCCGTGGGCCCCAGGTGGGACTCAGACTCCTGTGGCCACAGCTTGGAGCAGGAGAAAACAGAGGACAAGAAACCACATCTGCTAATCCCAACAGCCTGAGTGGTGGAAAAGAATCAGAAAGTGGCCTCGAGAAGGAATTGAGAAGGGAAAAAAATGGCAGAGAATGAGTAAGAGGGAGAGGACAGGTGGAATGGAAAAAGGAACAGGATAAAACGGGGGCCAAGATATAGAGCCAATTATTTTTGATTCTTTGGCTTAGGGGCTAATTTATTACAGCAGTAAATCATGCTTAGGACAGGTAATACAGCAGCCAGAGCATGGACATTATTTAGACAGTGTGATCACGGTATTAACGCTCAGAAAAGTGGAAAAATTTAAATTTTAACTGCCTCCAGGCCACATCTCACCCTTCACAGTCTCCTCTTCTCTCAGCACGAAGAAATATGGTATTTTCCAGAGCCAGGAGCTCCGTGTGGAGACAGAAGGGCTGGTGGGAAAGCGCAGGCTGGGGTTTCCTCGCACCCCACAGCATCCCCGGGCTGGGCTGGGGCTGCAGCCCCTCATCCTCCTCCCCTGTGCTGCTGCCAGGGCAGAGCTGGAGAGGTAAAAAGATGTAAAAGAGATGTAAAAAGAGCTCGCCACGAGCTGGTGTGTGGGGAGACGGGGATGCGAGAGCTTCAGCCGCGATTCCAGGGGGAATTTGGCTGCAGGAAGGAGCCGGGAGAGGCTGAGCCTCTCATCACACCTCAGCAGCGTGGCTCGGCCGTCGGGGGAACAGCTTTATGTTATCTAAAGGTGGGGCCTTTGCAAAGAAACTTTGCCGGGCTCGGAGAGGGGAGGTGGTTCTTCACCCGCAGGGATGGGGATGCAGCCCCATCCCTGCATCCCTCCTGCTCCGCACAGGGAGGGCTCTGTGAGGGCTCTGTGAGGGCTCTGTGAGGGCTCTGTGAGGGTTCTGTGAGGGTTCTGTGAGGGTTCTGTGAGGCTCTGTGAGGGTTCTGTGAGGGTTCTGTGAGGGCTCTGTGAGGGCTCTGTGAGGGCTCTGTGAGGGCTCTGTGAGGGCTCTGTGAGGGCTCTGTGAGGGCTCTGTGAGGGCTCTGTGAGGGTTCTGTGAGGGCTCTGTGAGGCTCTGTGAGGCTCTGTGAGGGCTCTGTGAGGGAGGGCTCTGTGAGGGAGGGCTCTGTGAGGATTCTGTGAGGGCTCTGTGAGGCTCCGTGAGGCTCTGTGAGGCTCTGTGAGGGCTCTGTGAGGGAGGGCTCTGTGAGGGAGGGCTCTGTGAGGATTCTGTGAGGGCTCTGTGAGGGCTCTGTGAGGGCTCTATGAGGCTCTGTGAGGGCTCTGTGAGGGCTCTGTGAGGGTTCTGTGAGGGTTCTGTGAGGGAGGGCTCTGTGAGGGTTCTGTGAGGGTTCTGTGGGGGCTCTGTGAGCGCTCTGTGAGGGCTCTGTGAGGGCTCTGTTCCCACACCTGGGGCTGGCAGGACTCCCAGATCTCGCCCTGAGCCTGTGCCTGGCTCTGCAGCACGTTTTGGGGCGCTCACCCCGTGTCCCGGCTGCATCCCGACCCGGTGCGAGCATCCCGCAGGCTCCGAGGCGCGGGCAGGGGGTCTGGGGGCAGCAGGGGATGGTGGCAGCCTTGAAAATCGATGTCAAAGACGCGAAAAGCCCCCAGCTGCCTCCCCTCGAGTCAGCGGAGCAAACCCTATCTCCTCATTGCGAGTTCCAGCGGCTCCACTGTGCTCCATTGGCAGGGGAAAACTCTTCCCTCGGGCACAATCTGAGCCCTTTTCCTCCTGGTTTCACCCCCTGGGAACCCCCCAGGGCTGTCCCAAGGCGCTCTTTGACCCCACCACAGCCCCTGGAGATGCTCCCTGCTCCCTCCAGGCATGGAGCTGGGACAGATCCACCTCCCTCCCACACCCAGCCAGGGCCACACCGACCCTCCCCACCGAGATTCTGCTTGCCCAAAGCCACAACAGGAGATTGGTCTTTTTGTAGGTGGGGATGTATTTAAGAAACGTGTTTACTTATACCCTGTAAAAGCACAATAAACTTATCTCCAGACATTGAGTGATTTTAAAAGCTACTTTGCTCAAAAACTCCTCCAGGCAGGAAAGATTAAAAACTAGCAAGATAGTGGTGGCTAAGGAGAAACAGAACCATGCTGTTGTAATTTCACTGTCCCTAACACAGTGCACACGTGGGGTGATAAGTTAAAATAACTTGGAGAAAGCTATTAACTCCTAATAATGGCAAACACAGGCAGCAGAGGTGTTTTAAAGCACTGCTGAAGGTGGCGAGCCCAGCAGATGCCACAGTGGCTCTTTGAAGCCCCAGGTGGTTGGAAATGCAGCACAGATTGTCTTGTGTTTCATCTTCCACACCCGTCTCGCTCCATCACCGTCAGCAGCTCTCAGGATAACCGGGGCCAGCCCTTGATGGGGTTTGTGTAGATGTGAAGGCACAAACATGAGCACAACACCTGACATTTCTGCCTCTTCTGTGGGAAAAATGTGACTTGGAGCAGAAACAGGGCTGACTTCCACCCCAAAGCCAACCTGTCTGATGGGATTCAGGCTGCAGAGCAGGAAGGATATTTGTATTTCTACCTGCCTGACTGCAGGCTTGCAGCCACCCGCTCCTTGATTGTTTTTAGTTACAGCTGATGATAATGCAGAGGGAAAGATCAATATGAAGAGTGTTGGCCTGGTAACATCCTCAAACTGCAGAACTTGCACTGGGTGACATGGGCAAACTGAGAAACAGCATGAAGATTTTATGAATCCAGAGCAGCTCTCTGCTGACCTGCTCCCCGTGGTCCCCGAGGTCTCTGTGCTGGGCTGGTTTTCCTTTCTTCTCAGGAGGGATTGTGCAGCAGCTGCTGGAGTCTGTCAGCTGTGACAAAATGCTGGGAGACCAGAGCAGAGTCTGAACAGTCCCCTGCATGATCTCCTGCATGGATGGGAACACCCTGGACCTTCTCTGGCTTCAGGGCAGTGAGGGCCTGGCACAGGTGCCCAGAGCAGCTGTGGCTGCCCCTGGATCCCTGGAAAGTGCCCAAGGCCAGGCTGGATGGAGCTTGGAGCAGCCTGGGACAGTGGGAGGTGTCCCTGCCCATGGCAGGGGTGGGATGAGATGGGATTTAAGATCCCTTCCAACCCAAACCAGTCTGGGACTGCATGGCCTAAATGCACCCTCTGCCTTTCAAAGGGCTGGGCTGCCCCACGCTGCAGCAGGGGCCACCCTTGGCACCGCATGGCCACCACCTCAGGGACCATCTGGCATCACCCCTGCTGCAGCTCCTCCCCCAGAGATGCACCCTTCACTTGGTATTTGTAGGAAATAGAGTTTTCCCAGAAATCAGGTTTTTCTCCTCAAAGCAAAGAGCAAAGAATCCCCATCTTGTGAGGGCAAGAGCACACATCCAAAAATGAAACAGTCCCAACCCAAAACGTTGCAGCTGCACTGGTTATGGGGTGGGGGCCTGCTGAGCCCACCACAGCCCTGCCTTTTGCAGGGGACATGGCTGGGGGAGCCTCTCGGAGCCTGGCTCCATCCCCAGGGATCAGTCACCCGGCTGAGGGCAGAGGGATTTGGCTCAGAAGACCGAGGTGATGTGGTGCCAATTAAAGGTTTCATTAACACAGCCTCCTGTGGGGACTGCATCTCTCACCAGTGACCAATGAACCCCTCACACCACACCACAAACTGCTCTATGGATGCCACATCACTCTTCTGTAAAATACTTCATAAAGCGGCTTAAATTTCTCTGCTGCCTTTTTCCCCTTGTACCTTTTGGCCATAAATCCAGGCTGGGTTTAGCAGAGCTGGCTGGGACAGGAAAGCCATCCTCACCTTTTCACTTGTTCCTCGGTCTTAATTATTTTTTCTTAGCTGGGAAAGCATGAAATAGAATAAAATTATTCAGTGTGTGAAATATGGCATCCAAAGTGATTCCACAATTTCTCCTGAGCCTCGTGCTGAACATGGAGACTTAGGGTTTGGGGCTGGTATTTTGGGGAAGTTTTCACAGAATAAGGCAGAGGGTACTCTGGCAGACTGGGATTTTCAGCCTATTTTAACTGAAGGCTCCACAGGACAGATTTGAACACAAGGACAGGTAGAAAGAGAAGGACTCAGCAGTGATGGGAACTGTTTCCAAAACAGGGAATCACAGCAAAACAACCCCCACACCCAGCCCAAGGCTGGGAGCACATGGTCCAGCTGACTCCTTTCCAGCTTTACTCAGTGGGCATTTAATTTTTGGAGAATCTGGGCATGAGGAACCCAAAAGCCAGCGTAAGGTCAGAGCAAATTTGGCTCGTTCTTGAGGGATGAGGAATGAATTGATATCAGGACAAAATATGTTCACTTTAGCCCAAACCTCAGCCAGGATGGTTTTCTGTTGATGTGGGAAAAGATTAACATTTGGTCACTCCTAAATCTCTGAGAAAGGGGAAGCTGCACAGGGCTGGCAGTGAGGATGTATCCTTTCCAAAGACTCAGTTTTGAAACACTTTCTTTTTGTAACCTTGAACTACCATTCCTAGTGTGTTGTTTTAACTCCTTTTTTTTCCTTTTTCTTTCTTTTTTTTCTTTGTCCCTTCAGGAGTTGACACAGTTGAGAGAGCAGAGAAATTAAAGTGTGCAGGACTGCTTCCTGCATTGATAGACTCGGATTCTCATTCATGCAGAGACTTAGGAAAAAAAAAAATGTTTAAAAACATCACTGGGATCTCTCTTTGCTCAGAAATCTGTATTCCATTAACTCTGACATAAGGCACAAAGTAAACCACGAGAAAGAGAAGCTCACCCCGGTGGGTGGCTGGAAAACAGAGCAGAGCCCATTAGCATTCTCTGTGTGTGCAGGGAACAGAGGGTTTGGGCACACAAAAAGTGATCCTGATGGAAGGAACAGCTAATCCCTCCTTGTAGCTGCAGTAAAAGCCGATGGCCAAGAGAGTCTGCACGGATTTGGTAGCAGAGATAAGAGGGAGCCAAATTCCAGCGAGCATCCCTCTCCTGCAGCTGATCAGCAGCTCCACTCCAAGCTGGAGAACGCACACACCACGCTGGGAAAGCTCGGAGTGGAGAGCACCCTGACAGCAGAGCCGTGTGCACAGACACCTGGAGAGCTGCAAACAGCAAAGTCACAGCAATCCCATTTGCAGGGACTGAGGTTTGGTTCTGTCCCTCAGTGGGCAGAAACAGGAGGAAAGCAGAGCCAGCTCCATCCTCACCTGAAGAATCCCTGAGCTCCTCAAGGAGCTGGAGAGCCCAGGAGGGGCTGAAGGAGCACCCCAGGAACATTCCAGCAAACCCTGCTGCACCCTAAATCCCAGCCCCACTGGCCCTGGGAGCTGTCTGTGCTGATTTATTTAAATAATTTTAAAGGTACCAGGCTTGAACAAGTTCAGGTGAGTTGTTCATATACATTCGTTTTCCAGAGAAGCTGTGGCTGCCCCTGGATCCCTGGAAGTGTCCAAGGCCAGGCTGGATGGGGCTTGGAGAAAACCTGGGATAGGGAAAGGTGTCCCTGCCATGGCAGAGGGTTGGAATGGGATGAGCTTTAAGGTCCCTTCAACCCAAACCACTCTGTGATTGATGAAAATATATTTAGGACATCTCTGTCAAAGCCATTCAGATGTGTGTCCATACAGGTGGAGACTTATCACATCAGCCTGTTTCCTAAAAACATTTGCCTGCAAAAGATCCTTTAAAGACCATTTCCCCAGGCCCTGCAGAGCAGACCTTCCCTGCTAACAAATCCCCTTCATGCACAGCATGCCAGGCTGCGGCACTTCAAGGGAATTCTGCATGGGGGTGGATTTCACCAGGAGAGAAAGGAGGGAGAAATACTCCAAATCCCAGAAGAAAGGCTCCCTCAGCCCCAGCAGCCCTTGTGGGAGCCCTGTCAGAGCCCAGCCAAAAAGTGAAACCCTCACAGAAGCCAAATGCCGCTGTCTGCAGTGGTCCACACAGGCAGAGGTGATTATGTGGTGCAGGCATGGATCCTTCCAGCTGGAGGTATTTTAAACACACAGGAAATAATGTCAGAATCACAGGACTGCAATCTTTAAATTATATTCAAAAAAGATGCTCAAAGCATATATCATTGAATTATGAACAGCTTTGGCAGCTTTATTGATGATGTTGAATCTGGTTGACAGAT